CGCTGGAGATCCTCAACGTACGGCGTGCCCTGAATTCAATGTATCGGCTCATACGCCTTCAAACTCTGAGTGGAAGTCGATTCCATAAAAAAGCTTATAGGAGAACGACTCGACCCCTTCGACTCTAGGACCCGGACCATGGCTGTGGTAAGCGGGACCGCTTGCCAAAACATCACCTCCACTGCGAGCCTTTCACCGTTTTTATCACTGTGCGGAACTCACATCAGTCAGCGCTTTCTCTGGTTTGTAGAACAAAAACTGATCGCTTAATGCGAATGCAGGCAAATGGTGCATGCCCAGAATCGGCGACGCTTCTCTGGTGTGGGGGGAGTGCTGAAAATCGAGGTGCATAATGAAGTCCGTTTTGAATACAAGTAAACATGTACTGCTTTTGGGAAGACGAAAAAACTAATACTCACCCATTGAAGGGCAGATCGGCTGCAGGCCAGCGATCCCAGGTACAGGTCCACGCAAATCAACATATTTTGCTATATCTTCACCTTTAGCTGTTACCGAAACCCACGTTGACACTTGATTTTCGAGCAAGACGGAAAGCTGAAAATTTAAGCAGCCCAGTCTAGATAGTGATTTTCGCCTGTGTTTATGTGCATGGGTACTAGGAGATACAGTCATGATCCCTGAAAATGATAGGGCGTGTGACGCGGCGCGTACTGGAGCGCAGCCAGGGCGCCCTTGTTCCAACAATGATGCCATCCTGAGTCCGCTACAATCGGAAAGAAATCTGCCCTGGCTGCGTTCCAAGCCACATTCCGCTCCTACGCCCTATCAACTGCAGGGATTATGACTGTGCAGTCGGGGTGTGTCATCACGGGCAATTCCTGCCCATTCTCGACGAGTATTTGATGAGCACACTAAGCCACAAAAAAAACACTGAAATTTTCAAGTTGTGATATGGCCAGGCTAGTATTCTTCTATCTAGATGACTCGAAAATACCGTGGTTTACGATGTTAAAGGCACAGTTCGCGACCGCAAATTGCGGGAAACGGAACTCAAATAGGCACAAAAAAGTGCTAAGTATCTGATTAGCGGAGAAAAGCAGCAGAAAAAGCAGTCCGAAATGTTATAGAGAAAGATAACATAGTGGCTACTAGCTAGTAGCTAGCAGCGGTGAGGGTCGGCATGGGCCTAAGGGGTGTCCATGGGCCTAATTAGTCAGCTTCTAGCGGAGTTCTTGCCGTTTTTCACATTTTGAAAGTAGCGCAGCCTCAAAAATCGCCTTCCGGATCGTCCGACACATTTGAGAGGTCATAGCCTTATTTTATCGCGGAATGTGCCTTTACACAATTAGGCTAACTTGAGCGCGTTAGGCTGAACATGAAGCTGTTTGAACAACATTCAGGTTCGCATCGGTGGACCTTAAAAACCCGCACTCTGTATGGTCAGTAACGTCAGTTACGGTATCACGAAAATGGGAATAATCCTGTTTCCTCGTTATAAGTATCTCTATTCCCACGCCTACCTCCATTCTCGGGTCATCCTCATATAGCTTAATTCGTTATGGTAAAAAATGCCGTCATATTTGAAACAACTGAGGGAAATTAGAGAGCCCTGCGAAGGAAGACGAGCGCGGTCGCGATGCGGTTTTCCTAACTGGATCGATAATATCATACGCTTCTAACCTCTCTCATAGCCCAACATAGCTCCCCATAACAATAACTCTCACTGCAGTTTTCCCAGTCTCTTACCTTCTTCACGCCACTGCACACGTTATGTGACTGACGTGGTGGAGGGAATCGGGACAGTCCTTTACGAATTTGATGCATTGACGGCGCCGGTAAAAGCGCTGGTAATTTCGCATCAAAACGTAACATTTCGCGACGTTCCTTTAATCCATAGGAACGACAGAGGCTTCTGAAAAGTTAGAATTAATCGAAGAAACCGGGCTAAGAATGTTTAAAAGACGCCTACCGGTGGCACCTCGGCCAGTTCGCTTTCACCCTCTTCTTCCCACCAGTCTATATCCCCTTCACCAGTAGAGACCACATAACGCATCTCATTCTTGGCACGCGTCCACCATTCAACTGGACGAGGAGCGAAGAATGCCTGCAAAGAAAATGAGTTTAGTGACTAGGTGTACGTGAGGAGGACTTAAAGACACAGTTCACTTTTTCACGCAGTTCTTCAGTACTTTCTTAGGAGATTTCCGCTGACTGGCGATAATCAAACGGAAAAAAAAAACAAAAACTAAGAAATAATCACCAACCGCTGAGCCACCGTAATCCAATGGCAATTCGTCAGTGTCAATCGTTTGCACGCTGCTTTCATCCTCAATGAACGGTGGATTCTCACGTTTCGATACTAAAAGTCCAACCATAATTCAAATAAATTTATTAGATGAATGAAATAATGGGGCAAATGTAGATCAGGGACAATGGTGAGACTAGGCCACGCTCCTCTTCTCTTAGTCTGCGCTGCGCTCTCCAGGGCTAATTCAGACAGTGGAAGAGAAAAAAGGGTTGAAACTATCTTGCCGAGAAGTCGGGAAAGGGGTGGTCTCCCCTCGACTCTCCCCTCTCATCTACCGTTTTCCCAGTTCACTTTGCTCTGAAAAATTGGATACCTGTCCAACTACTACATCATCTTGCACTACAAAATTATTTATTCCTGCAAAATGAAAAAAATGAAAAAAAACTGACCTGTATTGAAGATTGGCAAAAATGGAGACACGATGTTCACATACGGTGCTGTTGCGTAGCTCGCTCCCTGTAGAACAACTCAAGATAATTCAATGACCAGAGACATGCGACCATGGTCTCTGCAGACGATAGGGCGTGTGACGGGGAGCGTAGCTCAAAGCGCAGCTACCGCAGATCTCCCACCAATTGGAGAGAACTCAGTATGGCATAATTGGTGGAAAAAACTTACCTAGCTGCGGTCTGTGACGCGATAGGGGTCGCCTCAATCGTTTGCAGGGATCAGAACCTGAATCCTGACTGCACAAAATCAATCAGTAGACCTACCGTATACACACCATTGCATCGATTGTAAATCAAGCGACCTGAGTTACTTTCTGGATCTACCACATAGCACTGCTCGGCAGCATTGTGACCAAGCTGAAGAAGACAGTACAAGAATCGGGTTAAGTGGTTGGCGTCAGTATACAGTGAACAGATTGGGGAAAAATGTACACAGGGAGAAGAGTAGGACGAGCGTGGCCTGACCCGCTGGCAACTTCCCCCCCCCCGAATTACCTTGGCACCACGAAAACTAAACTCTTGTGCCAGTTGTTCCCACGGGTTCCCACTTTGCCTCAGCTTCCGCGGTTTGATTCAGCAGTTCCTTTTCAACGTACAACTGCGGTAGAAAGGTTCAGTAAGTAGGTGAAGAGAGACATGCGCACGAAGATAATCGGTCTCCTTCAGCAAGCCCTCTTCTACCTCTATTTCTATTGTGTAACCCCTAGAAAATGTCTACCGAGCACAAAAAATAGCTTTGGGAAAGAGAATAGGCAAAAAATGCCCTCAGGACCTTAAAGTTGCCAGCTCAGCGTAGCCTCAAGGTATAGTCCACGCTATTCGATTAGGCGGAGTCTGGCTTACCGCCGAATCTATCTTGTGAGAACGCCCTCCCTTGATATGGTGAAAAAGAGAGTGTACCAATGAGGAAGGCACAATGGAAGGCCCGAATCCGCCCACACGACTAACGTGGGCTGTGTCTTGGGAAAGCACCTACACAAAAACATGCAAGGGATGACAGGTTTGATGTAAAATCACTCTTCGTACCTTGAAACAGACAGCATTCTGAACGACAGAGGAGCAACACACAGTGGGGAATCGTGACGAAATCGCTAATTTGGACGACTAAAATAGGTAAATATAGGATGGATAAGAAAAAGTAGAGGACTCAGACAAAAGAATTTAGAATCTTAGGAATGCAGGTCAGGAAATCCGAATTGTGGCGGCGCGGCGAAAGCGACGTTACAACGCGTCGTAAGACCGCGCCGCAGCGGAAGTCAATCGTCACGCCGTCGCGCGCAGTGACTTAGCCTTGAGCGTCGCCGCAACTCGGATTTCCTAGTCCACAACCTCAAACTGCAGGAAAGTTGGGTGTAGAAGCAGCCACAACGGTTCATGAGAACTAAATCTGTCGACAGACTGGGGAGTAGTTTTTAGTTGTTTCTTTCCATTGTTTTAAATGTTCAAATAGAATCGGAATGTACAGAGCAGCCCCAAAACCGTTGCAATCTTCCTCCAACTTCATCCTCCGATATCTCATGACTTTTAACGCAACAGGAAGTTATGGTAAAAGCTGACATACCTTTCCACTGCACGCCACTTTGAGCAAATCTTCCGCCACCACGGTATTGAACGGGTCCTTATCCAGCGACAACTTCAGATGTTTCAACGCCCCATCAACGTCGTTTGACAACAACGCAGCGACGCTCGAAGCAGTATGAGTGGTTAATGTGCTTGACGTTAGTAAACACCCCCAATGACAATGTGATTTTTTTCCTGTCATGTAGTTAGACCACTAGGCAGACGTGGAAGCTTCGCTACCATCTGGATGTCAAGTATGGGTACACATTGTTCGGAGATCCCTCGAATCGTACTGCCACGGGGAAGGAGCCGTTTCTGTGGATCTCAGGGACAGTCTTCGGACCGGGAGGCAAATTTTTTGGCAGCTGTTTCACCTATTCCGCTCCCCCTCCCTAGCTGGCACAAGCACCATAAAAATACTATGACTCACTGCCCGATGGTGAGGACCCCTTGCTCAAAGCCGAATTTGGGAAACTGGCAGCTTGGAAAGTAAAGATTCAGGTAAAGTTTGCAAACCGTTGGGGGCTCTTGCACTTTCGCTGAGTTTTTTATTTGCTAGTGCAAAACCCTGCTTAGTGGCACTAGCTTTGCGGAATTTACTCATAGGACGCATCGGTGTGCGAACGATAGGCAGCGCCAGGACCTCCACCAAGCCAAACTGCGCCTTTCACTCTATTACGACGAAGTTTCGAGGATTATTCCGGCAGTTCACCTTACCTCATTCGGATCAGCACCAGTGGCCATGAGAAGGAGCCTTGCCGGCTCAGTTCTTTGACCCGTCACTTTCAAAATCAATTGTGCAAGTTGAGTGAACGCGATGTCCGTGTAACTTTGCTGTAAAGAATTATAGAAGATTCAAGTTGTGCAGGTACTGAAATCGGAATGTACCTGTGCTAGAATCGCCTCGATGAGGCAGAAAGCAGCCTGTTTCGGATTCCCTTTCACACGCCAGTATAACGCCGCTAGATTGACAGCCAGCCATCTCGGACCAATGTCCTAAATTGTACAATAACCCCAAAAAAAACTATTGCATTCGTTCTACACAGGACAAAAGTGGATCGATTCACTTGGCAGAACATGTTGCTGACATGTTCAGTTATGCGATTTGCGAAAGAAGACGCGTGCGGTAGCGGCGAGGCAATTCAATCAGTTGCTCTTCTATTATATCGATGTCAGTGTCTATTCCTTCTTTGAGACTAGCCCGTGGAACCAGGGTTCCGATGAGTCAAATGGAGCCACAACACGGCCGCAAGCGTCACTACGTTGTCAGGGACCAGACGTTACATACCCTGCCCCCCCCCCCCTTTCAGGGAATATCCGCCTGTGCTTGTTTTCGAAGGAGAAATCTCTATTTACCGGAGCGATAATCCCCCAAAGAAACATAGGTAAAAAGAACGACCCCTCCTGCCCCTCCTGGAACGAATGCGCATCCGCGTAGCATACGGCCTCGAATCCTGAAAATGACTGATAAGCTCACATTCTCCATCATTGATCGAATCCTCTGGGCAATCTCGATGTCTTCCATTATTCGATCAGCCAATCGGACCAATACCGATTTCAGTCGGTTTTCTGCGTATTCTTTGGACGGACGGGTGTTCACGGCTGTGACCAAACCAGAAAGCTGAAATGTGAACATCATCATTTGAGACGGTGTATTCACTACAACATTCCGTTCTCGCTTCAAGGTAAACGCCTTTCACCTCCGTAGATCTCGTCCTTGCCATGTGAGAGGCGAATGTATCCGTAGCTAAACTAGCGCCACTTTCTCTGCTCACAAATGCACAGAAATAGGACCGTAGGGTAGCGGTACCCGGGTGACGTCATCATACTCTGCCCGCGTTGCCGCGCGACCAGCCCTACGCGTAACTATAGCCAAACACGCTACTTGTCTGCACCGTCTCAGTTCTGATTGTTCCCTACCACTGAGAACGTGGTTCGCTTGAGGGTCGTTATATCAGCGCAAGTGCTGCACACTGAGGATAGCGCAAGCGTAGTCGGGAGACGGCATGGCACCCGGGTATTGCTACCACCACAGCAGAATCCCGCTTCGCGTGGCATTTTGGAGGCGGAAAAAATGGCAGCAGTAAGTGGCAACTGCGGATCCCATGCGCCAAGGATGGTCCCTTGCACGTGACAATGGACCATGCCTTGTCTTTCATGCCGCTATGACTGCTCAGGAAGCTCCACAGACGGTCCCAGGAGATCTGGGTTGCGTCCCGGGGCGCAAGTGTGTGTCGCAAGTGATGTCGCGCACAGGCGACTCCCCCCAACGAGGACCTAACGCGATTTTGCTCCACATCAACATGAAGCCAACCGAATCATAAGCGGTGCTCTAAGACTACAATTTGAATTTGCGGCTCAGTGATTAGCAAAAGTTATCAACTTTGAAGTCAGGTGAGACGCCTGAGGCCGTATTCACCCTTTACAGGCTCCAATTCATATGAAGTCAGGCCCAATTTTGACCGAAATTTCTCCGAGGGAACAAGTGGACGAGGAACTAAAAATTTGTCACCTTGCCAAAACGTTAGAGAATGACTGAACACCAAACATTTTTACAACTTCGTAATTTTTTTGTCTATTAGGAAAACTCACAAAACTAAGTTCGTGTCCAACCATGTTGACCTCCTTACAGTATGGTTCACGCCATGGTAAAGGATGATCCTCGTGAGGCTCCAAACCGATGCCTTTCGTCAAATACTCAGCAATCCTGAAAAATTATCATGAACGGGGCGTGAAATCAGGGATGTAGTCAACTCCAATTTCAAATAGATTGAAACTTACAAAAAGCCCTTGTTCTCCGGACTGATAAACACCTGGGGGAACCATTTTTGATTGAAAATATCCGTTCGTGAGATGATTGCTTGACAATCGACGCTCGACGGCCAATCGGCTCTACGCCAAAAGCGATCGCGCACGGTCGACCATGTTGCGCTGAACTCAGTTATTACTTGAAATGGATGAAGAGACAGAAGTAGTTCTCACCCTCGCGATTAGGGAAAGCACGGACTTAGGGGGATGGCTTATAGGAATGGGACCGTCAACTCAATGGGCTGATTGGAAGTTCTCGGAATCAGCCGCTGTCCCCCGAGGCTACCTCCCCTACTCTTTTGATACAATGCACGTATGTATTCACATATTCATGCAGCAACGCTTTCTGTCAACTGTACTTCATAAATGAAGCGATAGAAGTATCAGCGTCGATGTGACTGCGCGGCCATTTGTGGGCGGGCGGTTGCGGAGGGCGTCTGGGCCGGCATGCTGCATAATGGTTAGGCGCTGTAAGGGTGCATTTGGTTAGCAAGGGAGCAGGCAGCGCCTGCTAGGGGGACACAATACTCTTTCACTAGACGTATGTACTGGTATACAGG